GTAAGAGGGGGCATAACCATTCGGATTATTCAGATTGTATGTTTGTGCTGACCTGCTCTAGAAAGAACCCAATTTTCGTCATCGTTGGGAACTTGAAACACGCAGTAACCAAGAAGCCCATTCTTCTTGGCATAAGAAACTTTAATCTTGACAGCCTCTATATCGTCAAAACCAATCCAGGATGATCCAATTTTCATGTAGTTCGTCACGTATGTGGAGTTGAACAGTGGTCTGACACCATTGATTTTACAGAACCACATGATGAGTTTATAGCTTATTGATCCATCTGCAGTTATGGCCAGGCCATTGGCCGCAGCGCCTATTGTGTTGTCATTAGGATTTATGAGTGTCCAGGCATAACCATGGTATGGCAATCCCAGGACCAGTTTGTTGGCCGGTAATCCTCTTTTAATCCATTCCTTTATTCCATAGTCTGTGTTTAGATTGCTTGATGGATCATATAATGCAGCATGCGCTCCTGTGAAATTATCCTTTGATGGCAGATAATAGTCGTAAGATATGAGGTGCACCCAATTGACATTTCTCTTGATTGCATCTATTGGGTAAGTCATGAAGTTTTGAGTTGGTGAATATCGTGCTCCCATGGTCAAGATCAGTGGTGGGGTGTTCGAATTTTTTGGTTCAGAATTTACTGCTTCTCGCCACTCATCTAGAAAAGCTCCCACATTGGTCAAGTTGATAGGCATATTTGGACCAACGCCGACGAGATCAAGACCTAGAAATCCAAACTGTCTGGCGACCTTGATGGAAGATTTGATGAAGGACCTTCTGCGGGAAGATGTACTGACCATTTCGAAAATTTTTGAAGAATTTGCCTCTCCTCCCCGTGTGGACAATAGGGTTATAATTGATGGATTTTTTCGCCTGACTATTTCTGTGAAGGTCGACATGTGTACTTTATCAGATGAGGATATAGAGAGTTCATAACTCGACGAATTTATGTGTGCGAAGGCGCAAATGAGATGTGTAAACAGAGCCGAATTGATGTCTGGAACTGGAAATTCACTAACAGAATCCCAGTAACCAGCTTTAATCCAAGCCTCTGCACTGGGAAATATAACCAAGGTGACAAAAAGGAGTTTTACTCTGAACATGATTGAAGCAGCTGGGGTATGACAGTATGCTAGCGTTATTCGTAACTGCAGGTGGCTTTTTAAGTTGTTAGAGTAAGGCAACCCGAATCCTGTTTGGCCCCGCCCGAAAGCTCGCGGTGCAACATGTATAATGAAACTAAAATTATGAGAAAAAATGGAGGTATGAACCTGTTTTATTATATATATGATGTATATAAGAGTTTCTTATCATCTAGTCATTCGGAATAGTCGCAACTCTCGTACTCGTTTTTTATATAATGAATTTTCTTCTCCTTTGCCTGTGGCCTTTTTTTTTTTTTTTTAGGATTTTCATGTGAATCTTTTGTTCTTGTTCTCATTTTATATGTTGTGAATTCTCATTCTTCTTAACATAAGTCCACCTTCAAATTCCCTGTGGAAACTACCAAGCTGGAACTGGCTTAGAATATTTGAAGGAGGAAACTACCAAGCTGGAACTGGCGTAGAATATGGGGGAGAGAATTCTGATGAGTGGCAAATTGTTACTGCTATTAGCCAAGTCCTCTAGACGACAACTCATGAATATCAAATTTGAACATTACATTCTTTTGCGGTATAGAATTGTTGTATTGTCATTGTCCCCACGCAACCAATCTTGTACCCATCAAAGACGCGTAATTTGACCAAACTGATCTAATAATTCAACTCGTTAGTTGTTCGTTGGGGCTGCCTTTATGTTTCAATCAAATTCAATATTATTTAACTTTAAGTTCGTCTATTATTCAGGCATTTCATACGGCTCGCTACTATTCATCTTTGTAAATTATGGATAAATTTGTCAAATGAGGTTAATGGCTCATTTGACAGGGTTTTTACATCTTGTAAAAAGTTTCCTGAGGAAGTTATTTTTGGGTCTATTTGATAGTAAAGATAGAAAAAGCAAAGTAATTTCATGTAAGTTGAAAAACAAAAAATCACCAAAATCATAAGAATATTTCCATGGAATTGGCCAAAAACATGTTTTAAGAGTATGTTTGATTACATTTATTTTCCATGGAAAATATCAGTTTTCCACCCAAATTTTTATTTTGAGTGTTTGATTGCTATTTTTTTCCATGGAAAACATTTTCCGACTTTTGAAAATATACATCTTTGAAAATTATGGATAAATTTGTCAAATGAGGTTAATGGCTCATTTGACAGGGTTTTTACATCTTGTAAAAAGTTTCCTAAGTTATTTTTGGGTCTATTTAACACTGAGAAATATAGAGCTCAGTGATTTTCTTCTTGATCTGTAAAGAAGAGTTATATTTGATAGTAAAGATAGAAAAAGCAAAGTAATTTCATGTAAGTTGAAAAACAAAAAATCACCAAAATCATAAGAATATTTCCATGGAATTGGCCAAAAACATGTTTTAAGAGTATGTTTGATTACATTTATTTTCCATGGAAAATATCAGTTTTCCACCCAAATTTTTATTTTGAGTGTTTGATTGCTATTTTTTTCCATGGAAAACATTTTCCGACTTTTGAAAATATATCTAATTTTCCTTGTTTTTAAGGAAAATATTTTTCTTGGGTAGAGGTGGTTTTTATTTTCCACAAAAGATGGAAAATATTTTCTTTTTTAAGTGATATTTTTCATGTCAATCAAACACACAACCTTTAAACCTTATTTTTGAATTTGAAAGTTAAAAAATCTGTGCGAGTATAATTTTCACAATAAATTTTTAGAAAATGAGACTCGGAATCTTTGTATTTCTATTATTATTTTCTCTTATGATTTTATGTCTTTTTTGTCCTTTCTTACAATCTTTAGGATTTTCTATCAAAAAAATTTAACACTGAGAAATATAGAGCTCAGTGATTTTCTTCTTGATCTGTAAAGAAGAGTTACCTCTATTTCTATCTAGTGCGAATAATATGTGGCTTTCTATTATAATTAGTCTACTAATTTCTCGATTTTCTAAACAAATATTAACGAACTATAAAAACTTTCTACTGAACAACAAAGTAAAATGAATGAAGTATAATTATCTAATGGCATAAAATATCAAAACTTTAAGACTATGTTTGTAATGACCTTAAAGTACTTTACTATAAGTAAACTAATTTCTTCAGTTATATAATTTTGTTATAACTCTCTCTTAACTTTTTTCTTGACTTTTTAAAAAATGTTTTAACAAAAAAGACTCTCAGCATGTTTAAAAGGTTTTGAACAAACTCCTTTAACCAGGATAAATAGTCAACCTAACTCAGAGGATTACTTTATCTTTTTTGTTATGATCATATTTGAAAACGAAATAAAATATAACTTCTGAATAAATTAATTACCTATTTGGTGTTCTCTCATTTAGGCCTTGCCCCGGAATAAATAAAGTAAACAAAAATTATAAACAAGAAAAATGTCTAGCATAATTTTAAATTCCTAAAAACGCTTGTAATTTTTTCCTTTCCTTTATTTATTTTTGGGCCTCTATTTCTATCTAGTGCGAATAATATGTGGCTTTCTATTATAATTAGTCTACTAATTTCTCGATTTTCTAAACAAATATTAACGAACTATAAAAACTTTCTACTGAACAACAAAGTAAAATGAATGAAGTATAATTATCTAATGGCATAAAATATCAAAACTTTAAGACAATATGTTTGTAATGACCTTAAAGTACTTTACTATCAGTAAACTAATTTCTTCAGTTATATAATTTTGTTATAACTCTCTCTTAACTTTTTTCTTGACTTTTTAAAAAATGTTTTAACAAAAAAGACTCTCAGCATGTTTAAAAGGTTTTGAACAAACTCCTTTAACCAGGATAAATAGTCAACCTAACTCAGAGGATTACTTTATCTTTTTTGTTATGATCATATTTGAAAACGAAATAAAATATAACTTCTGAATAAATTAATTACCTATTTGGTGTTCTCTCATTTAGGCCTTGCCCCGGAATAAATAAAGTAAACAAAAATTATAAACAAGAAAAATGTCTAGCATAATTTTAAATTCCTAAAAACGCTTGTAATTTTTTCCTTTCCTTTATTTATTTTTGGGCAAGGCTAAAAAAAGGAAACACCAAGTAAGCAATTAGTTTTTTTAGAAGTTATATTTTATTTCGTTTTCAAATATGATCTTAACGCTCTTAGTCTTTTTACTCTAAATTCCATAACCAAAAAGACAAAACAATCATCTGAATTAAGTTGGCCATTTTATCCTAGTTAAAGGAGCTTGTTCAAAGCCTTCTAAACATGATAAAATCTTTTTGGTTAAAGTCTTAAGCCTTTTTAGAAGGTCAAGAAAAAAGATAAGAGATGGTTAATATATATATATATATATATATATATCTGAAGATATTAATTTGCTGAACGGTAAAATGCTCTAAAGTCATTACAAACATATTTTTTTAAAGTTCTGATATTTTATGTCATTAGATAATTATACTTCATCTATTTTACTTTATTGTTCAGCAGAAAGTTTTAAAGAGTTCATTAATATTTGTTTAGAAAATTGAGAAATTAGTAGACTAATTTAATAGAAAACCACATATTATCAGCACTAGATAGAAATAGAGGATAATCCTCTTTACAAATCAAGAAGCAAATCATAGAACTCTCTATCTCTCGGTGTTTTCTTGATAGAAGATCTTAAGGATGATAAGAAAAGACAAAAAATACATGAAAATCATAAAAGAACGTAATAATAGAAATACAAATATTCCTTTTTTTAAGGAAAAAAGATTTTCTTTTAGAAACTGGTATCAGAGCTATTTCTTAGTCTAAAATAATTAGTGTACGAAAAGAATAGATTATTTAGAGATTCTAGAAAATTTTAAAAGAAAAGATAGTTTAGATATAGATTCTTTAATTTGTAACTTTGACAAAAAAAATTTAAACATCTTTTACATTATGAGCATAAACAACTAAATAGTATTGTAGATATACTCGTAAATTTAGGAGAAAACTTATAAATGAACAATTCAAATAAAAAAGTAGAAATTTTAATAGAAAATATAAAGACTTTAGAGAGTAATTTAGAATATATTAAAAATCAAAATCTCGAAATATTAAAAGAAAATTTATTAGTATGGGAGAAATAGAGATTAGTCATATAACTTAGAAAAATTGGAAAAAATTTAAACATCTTTTACATTATGAACATAAACAACTAAATACAGTATTGTAGATATACTCGTAAATTTAGAAAAAACTTAGAAATGAACAATTCAAATAAAAAGGTAGAAATTTTAATAGAAAATATAAAGACTTTAGAAAGTAATTTAGAATATATTAAAAACCAAAATCTCGAAATATTAAAACAAAATTTATTAGTATGGGAGAAATAGAGATTAGTCATATAACTTAGAAAAATTGGAAAGTAGAATTAAAGCATTGGAAAAAGAAAAGTCAATAGATACTAGACAATATTTAGATAATATAATAAATAAACTAGAAAAATTATTTAAGTAACACTAAAGAACCTAGTAGATTTAGGAAGACTAAGTGATTTATATGTAATGGATAAAGTAAAAAAGGAAAATTGTAGCTAGTAATAGTAGATTAGTTGGTAATCCTTTATTAAGAACATTAGGTAGAAGAATGGAATCCGAAACAATATTAGAATCCTTAAAAAAATATAGAAGAACAGATAGAGACATTTATACAAAATAAATTAAAATTAGTAAAAGTTTTAGACTTATATAAAAAAGGAAATATGTTTACCAAATCTTAAATATATCAACATTATAGTGGAATGTATGTTTCTCGTACACAAGAAGATCAATTTATACCCCTAGATTTAATAGAAAAAGAATCTTATAAAGAAATTATTAATAACAAATTTCAATAGACTCATTTAGAATTGATAATAATGGGAGTAAAAGGACTTCATAGAGAAAAATAAGGAGCTAAAATATTGGTATATTTATATGATAGCAGATTCACAAACATATAACAAGGACTATTAGGAAGCATAGAATTAAATATGAATAACAAAGACGGAGTAGTGTACTTTACTCCAAATTATTTAGTTAAACCAAAAAGATTTTATAAAGACATTATAATAAGAATAAAAAGT